ATTAGAGTGATGCAATACTTTTATTAAATTAGCTGTAATTAAATTTTGATGTAAAAAGATCACTTCTTCACATGACTAATAAGAATTAGAAATCAAGACGAGTCCATGAGATATTATAAGAGTGAGAGTGGCTAATAGAACATAAAGTAACTCTTAATCATCGGAACTTATCGTTTATACCATCTACAATAATTATATATTCGTAGTAAATTTAAATTTTCATTATGGTTCTTGATAAAATAATCATTGAACAGAAAACAGAAATTATTATTAAAGTAATAAACTAAAAGTTAAATATAAGTATCTATGATTTGTATTCAAATTAATGTTAAGAAAAATAATTTTTGTAAATAAAAGAACTTTAAATCACTACAATATTATGTAAAAGACTTTTTATATGGTCCTCGATTATTTCAAAACCTATTAAAATTTCGTAAAATATTAGATCATTATTTTTATCAAATAATTGTAAAAATAATTAGATCTATATAATAATCTATATGAATTTTACTCATTTTATATCCTTTTAAAGGTATATAATTTTAAAATATATCCGCAATTTCCAAATAAAGTTTATTTAGAACATTTTCAAAAATTTTGTATATCCTACTTTTTGTTTATTCTAATTCAACGTATTCGCTCAATTTGTCGTAGAATTTTTAAACATTATTAAAGATGACGCAGCTGCAGAAAAGTCTTAATTTTATATATGCAAAGAAGTTGAAGTATACATATGATTAATCGATAAGTTTTTATTGTCACATAAAATTTGAAGCGAAGTCAACCGGTCCTAAATCACGTTCAAGTTATATATTGGTTACTATTCAAAAATGTGTATGCTTATATTATATATCCGTAAAATACTATTATTGGTATGAGATTTTCACTTCCTTTTAATAAGTATAAAAATTCATCCTTGAATAACATATTTCCTCTTTTTATAATTACGATTACTATAATTACGATTAATTTTTTCTTGTAAATATGTAAAATTTTTATTGTCAAAAAACAAATAAGATTCTAATTCTATGGAATCTATCAATATTATTAAAATACTTGAAATACACAAATTATATTTTGTAGAAAAGCCATATAATCTTTTCTACGAAAACTTGCAGTAGTTGTGTATTCCATAGCTTTTTACTTTCAAGTGTAAAACTTAAGTTCTATTAGTTATTTGAATTGATTTGATTGTATTGAAATTGATCTGAACAAAAACGAGATGTTTATGAGTTAGAAGTAATTATGCGAATGAATAAATAATAACATAATTAAATTAATATCAATAAATATTATTATTATGCCACTGAAAATATTTTGAAAACTATTGTTTCGTAATCATTCGGTATAAATCTCAATATCATTGTAATTATTTAACAGTAATCATTTGTTACTTCTTTAAATGCTTATTTAATTATTTATATTACATAACTTTCTTTTAATTTTGAAAATAAATTTGGTAAAAGCATTATAAATGATAATTTCTTCCATAGATAATTCAAATAGGATAATGAGTTATACAATCAGAAAATTGAAATTTATTATTCTCCATAAACTCAAAACGAAATATTTAAAAAAAACTACTAAAAATTTTTAGAATTTACAGACTCAAATTCATTTAAGGTAAAGTATGATTTACTTTGAAATAAATTCGAGTTTCATAAAGCACTGTGATAGATGACATTAATCGTATTTGTACCAAACTAATGGTTTTCTACCTTATAATCGTTGAATATTTTTTAGTTGAAAGTAGACAATACATAAGTGCAATAAGATACCTTGTTCAACAATTTATGTTAAATAGTTGTCATAGTAATAATTTGTCCTGTTTGTTTTAATTTTATAAAATATTTATCTAAGAAACAAAATAAGACAATATATTGGCACATATCATGATTGAAATACTTCATTAATATTTAGTCAATCGGAATGAATATATAAGTACAATGGAATGTATATCTACAAATATAAACTACCGATAATAAATTAAAATATTTTTATTTTAATGTTTATAATAAAAGAATCGGTTTTCATATTTTAAAAAAATTTGTCTGAGAATTTTATTTTTCATTTAAGGAACAAACAGTATTTTATAAAATTTATTAAAATTATTTAAAAACATTCAAAACTGAGCTTTAATAATTATTCTTTATTGTGTTGGAAATCAATATTATAGACATCTTTCTTGATACAAATGAAGATGACGTTTATTATCCGATTTATCATCAGATTATTTATATACAATATATCGAATAATTTAATGAACTGAGCAAATGGTTGTTTCGTACTCGGTAAATTATTATTCTTTTTAATTTATATTTAATTTTGATTTTTAATTGAAATTTAAGAAATTTAAACGTCGAATTATAACGATTCCAATACATATAAATCTAAACTAATTCTTCGATTTAAGAGATCCTTTTTTTTTCATTTAATTTGATAATAAATTATTGTTTTAGATTTCAACAAATTACCTTTTTAACAAAAAGCTTTTTTGTGTTATTATTCAATGTAGTACTAAAACAAATAATATTTATAAAATTGTATTTGTTATTTAAAATAAAATTATAATAAATCAGTAAAGTAACTACAAATTAATGTTTACTTATAAAGTAGTCCAATTTTGATTTCTTGTTAAAAGTTTAACTGAAAAGAAAATATCTTATAGAATGAAAATATACTTGGTTTATAAATAAATTTTGATAAACTTAAATTTAGTAACATTTTATTAAAATATTCGATTTTTTGAATTATAAATAATTGCGAGGAGTAGTAAATAATGATACAAAGGAGTTGACGAGTGAAAAATAAAATAAAAAGACGTACGTATATAGAGAAAGAGAGTTCTAGGATGAGAGAGAATGAGTAAGCTAAAAGGAGATGGATGTTATTCAATAGTCTCAATGAAATATTGATTTAGATCATTCAGCATTCTACCGTTAATCGTATAACAAAGCATGCATATTCGAAGCGAACCTCGTTCGAGTTGACTATTAGATAGCTCAAGGCCACTGACATAGAAGCATCTCTTAACTGCGCAATTATATATAAATTACGTGCTTTGTATATGTGTAGGCATCTCTTAAAGAGCGCCTTTGACTCCTTTTACTTTCGCAAACGGCCCTCTTTCACATTTTCATGTATATTTACGGACGCGCATGTGCTATATCTATAAACACAGTATTCGCTTTTATTCATCTACGATATTTTTTATACCTAGTATTTGAAATACCTCCAGCTACAAAGACTCACCCCTGCAGGTATATACTACATTTTTGCGTATCTTTGCACACGCGACTGCATCGAACTCACGACCTCACCTTTCGAACTTACGGCCTAATCTCGCCATTCACCAGGACATTCGTTTTAATACGTCCTACTATTCCTCTTCTCGATGAGCTAATCTATGAAATTTGTGCTATCTTAGTAAATCTAATTATTAAATTATTGATTGAATTTATTCAATGCGATTATAAGATTACATTCTATCATTACAAGAATTAGCAAACTTTTTGAAAATTTTGAATTCTTTACTTCTTTTACCTTACATTCTGGATATTCTTCAATGTTAATAATGTGGAATCGTTTTTATCAAATAGATAAGTACTTAGATAAGTATTATTTTAAGTTTAATCTTTTTTTCTGCCTATTTCTAAAATAAACTATTACGGCTACGAGCAATTTCTCACGATCATCCAGACTGTGCATACAATTAAGTAAGAAGATCTCTCAGCTTTCAGTTCATTGTTACGTAAGAGAATAAAAAATTAAACCAAGTCATGTGATGTGAAAGTATAATGTCAATGATCAATGTCCAATCGTTGAATTCAAACAATGGAAACTTGAACACTATTTTAATAATTATAATACAAATTTAATTCTAATGAAATAAAATATTCGAAAAATGAAAGTAAGTATTGGTATTTGAATTACATTTAATAAAAAAATATCCTATTTTACCAAAAATTTTCAAATCGTTTTAGAAATAAAAATAGTCTGTGAAAAAAGTATTGTACATAATGTCTTTTATAAATTAAGTAACTTTCAAAGCAATAGCATAAAAATATAAATGTTTTTCTTTTAAATATGTATAATTACAAAAATATTATATATATATATATATATATATATATATATATATATATATATATATATATATATATATATATATGAATGTATATTATCTCATACTCACTCACATATAGGCATGTGTATAATTTGGCTGCTGTGGGCCTATCAGATTATCTATACATAATGGCGTGTACGCGCACGGATTTGTGCGTGCGTGTGTGTGTGTGTGTGTGTGGGAGCTTGCGTGCGTGCGTGTATGTGCGTAAAACGAGTGTATATACGTTTAAGTTTGTAATTGTGTGCGAAAGTGTATAAGTATTTAGGAACATAATTATGTTTAATAAAAGAAAAGTGTTATTGATAAACATAAATTAACTAATTAAGGAATGTGATTCTGATGTCTGTTTAAATTAAAAATTTTAATACAATGTAGGGATATGAATATGGCTAATTCTCATATAAAATCACAGACACTGCATAAATAATATTATAGATAAGTTTTTTTTAATAAATTATACACTGAAGGAAAATTAATTTTGAAGAAATAATATAATATAAAATTTAAATCTTTAATAACATAAAAAATGTTTACATATTAAAAGCTCAATTTCAAAATCTATTTAGTTGTTTAATTGTTTATATTAATAGTGATACTAACCATTATAGTTTATACGTTTTACAATCTTACATAGTCGATTGTTTATGATTTTGAATTATGTAGTGAAATTCACTCTTTACGGAGTATAATTTTTAACATATTGTAGGGTAAAATACTTTTAATTTTAATTCGTATAAAAATTTATTATATTTAAAGTATTTTATAATGTAAAATAATTTTAATGGTATTTGCTGCAACATTATATTATTGCAACTGCATTACACTCTTACAACAATAATGTAAATATATAAATTATAACCATCAAGTATAATTTTAATTAGATAAAAACAATCATAGAAAATTGTTTGCTTGTCGTCAAATTATTTTAGAATCGAGCGTATAAATTTGATCTAACATATAGATCTACATTAATCTCAAATTCAATCCTATACAAATGCAATTACATCGTTAAATGTTATACTCATTCAAATCATCTTTCCACCTTCCATCAATCCATATATTTATTAACGCAGTGATTGCAACAAAGTATCGAATTAAGTGTTATAAATATTCAATAACTGCTAAAAGGATCATAAACATAATCACAAAGTGGCTGAATTATGTATATAATTGTCTCTTGCGAAAGATCGTCTGCAATTAATACAATTCATTATTAAATGTTAATGCAAGAAATCTTTGTCAGCCGAATATAAGAATACTTATAATGGGCACTCGAAAAGTACAGCATCGAAAATGGCTCTCTATATATGCATATTTGTATCGCATCAAAAATATAAATGATGAACGTTCGATTAACCTCTTCTATATGTTTTGGGTTTGACCTGAACATTCTCGGACTGAGTTTCCTGAGCTTCTTCTTGATTAGTTGTCGTAGTTTTGCCACGATTCCCACCGAATCTTACACGACTGGTACTTTTTGGTACTTCGTTGGCATTAGTAGTTTTCGATCTACCTGCATTAGCCTGAGATCTGTAATTTTTTAATTCAGGGTCCTACGATTATTTCAGTGAAATGGAAATACTAAAAGACATTTTTGGAACAATATAAACCTACCAAGTTCCATGTATAATTTAATTCAATAAATTCATTTGTTCAGTAAAATGTCTACTTACTTAGACTTGGGTTGCGTCGTCTCTGCAGAACTTTGAGTGGTCGAAGTTTCTCGAGGATGACTTGGAGTAATACCTTGAGCTCTACGTCTCTTCAATGCTGCTAATAAATCTTCGTTTGACCTATTAATCAGAATTTTATATTTAGAAAATTACTTACTTTGAACAAATTACTTTCAAATTTATATCGAAGATTTTCTCAACTAGAAAAATTGATATAACTGAAAAATCAGAATTCAAATAAGAAATTTATTTATATATTTATAATTTATTAACAAAATCTTTTTGGAAACAATTTAAAAACTTTTCTCTAAATTTATGTTTTTTCTACCTGCAATATATATATATATATATATATATATATATATATATATATATATAAAGTTTTGGACTCCTTACTCTGATAAGATAATTTGAAAAATCTTATTACTACATGACAGTACCGTCTCAGTCAAGCCATATAGAATGTATATTGTTATTATATTATAGATATTTACAAATGAGCCCTTGAAAATTATTAATAAGAACTAAATATTGGTTTATTATAATGTCGATACTGCTAACATTAATTCATTAATGTTAAGTCTGTACTATCGGCGTATAAAAATAAAAAGATCATTACATTAAAGACTTGTTAAAACTCAAACTAATGCATTATATTGTTCCATATCATAAGCTTAGTCGTGCATTCATGAAAACTAAAGTAAAGATTTTTTTTTATTATTTAAATATGGAGTATATATATAATATTTAGAAAAGTACTAACCTGAAAGGCCTTACGACACTCCCCCGTCCGAATTTCTTGGGAGGCTCAGTAGTTGTAGTTGTTGGAACATCTTGTTTAGCATTCTCTTCCTCCGCTTCGTCAAACTCATCTTCATATTGTTCTACTGATTGTTCAGTAGTTGTTGTTGATTTTACACTGGCCGTTGTTGCTGCAGCCTTAAATCAATAGCAGTATGCAAATAAAAACTAAAAACCTATTTTTTTCTCTTATCTGGAAGGACACTTCCATATAGTAATTGAGTTCAATATGATTAATAATTACAATTATAATGATATTATTTTAATTAAAACATTAATTTATAAATAAAATTACATTTTATTTAATTAATAAAAATTAATATTTTTCATTTTGGATATATTTAATTACGTTTTAAAATATTTTAATTCAAAATTAAATAGATGCATTATAATATAAGCATTCAAAAGAAATATTATACTTAAATGAAACGACTAATTATTTTGTAAATTATAAACGTCATGGACACGTACGCATTAATATTTAAGTAATCATGAAAATATCGTAATATTATAATTATTATATTAAGAGTAAAATAACGAAATTACTTGATTTAGATAGTACTGATTGTAAATATTTACGTGTATTAGAGTATTTAAAAGGAGAAAATTGTTGTTTGTCTGGTATGTGCTCTAATAAGAAAAATTTGAAGAAAATAATAATACTAATTTGGATTTTTTGACGATACATGTGTTTCCATCACATTATTCATATAAGTGTACAAGTATGCAGTTCAATATAATTTTGCTTTATAATCTAATCAAACATTTTATTCAATAATCAATGTGGAAATTGTTACCACATAAATATTGTAATTGTTAATATAAAGTAACAAAATTAATATGAATTAATTCATGTAAAATTATGTAAATACCATTCTTTATAAGGGATTTTTATAATCTAACAGATTAAATTCTGAAAACTGTGTTACTTTACAATGAAAGAATGTATTAAAAGAAATTTTTTCGTATTGGCACAGTTTTTAAACCTGAATTAGGATGTATTGTGACAATGAAAGAATTAACGTTATTAATTGCCGAATTGACTACATATTTGAACGACAGACGTATATTTTTCGTGTTTAATATTCGTAGTAAAGTGCTTAGTACAAAATGAAGTGAGTTAATTTCTCAATGCATTTCATCAATACAAAAAGCTTTTCACTCAACGCGTTTTCCCAAATCCTTAGTCAAGTGCAATGAACGTCTGAGACAGCAATACGTAAATAGTCGCTCTAAAGAAGATAAGACTAGATACGTGAAAGGAGATAAGAAAAGCGATGTCGATTCAATAGGTAATTCCATTAAGAGCGCAAAATGATGCGGGAAAAGAAGCGGAAATATCCGGTTGCGAGATAATGAGTGAATAAGTTTGGCGGCTTAAGTGGATAGTCATAATTGGCAAAACTCACGGCAACGGGGGATTTCCTAGCGGCAAGTGGCCCCGAGACGCTCCTCCTCGAGGAAAGTAGGCTTCCGAGCTTGCTTGTTTTGGCTGTGGCAGCTGGTGCTGCTTGTTTGGGGCCTGTTGGGGCCGCCGGAGCTACTGGAGCCACCGCTGCTTCCTCCTCGTAGTCGTAGTCGGTGTCTGTCGAGGTGCATGTCACCAGCAGACAACCCGCCAGTAGTCTGCAATTAATCCAACCATCGCTTTGAAAATGAGCATTTCCGTTTGTCACCCCTCACATGACTTAGTAGCGTTCAGCGAGATTTGTCCGACAATAATACACTTTTGCTTCTAATTTGCGATAGGTCGATGTTCGCTCGGACCGTCTTCTTACGTCACGCATCATTTGTATCGAATGGGCAGCAGCCGAACGACGACCGATTCGTCAATAATAAATAAGTTTTGCGCGTCATATTAGAGAGTCTTTTGATTGGTCTTTAAATTCTAGATGAAAGATCATTTGATATTAAATCAAGTATTCCTATGATGATACATTGCAAGGTGCACTACTTTCTTAGCTTCTTCTGTCTAGTAATATGTACGTCAAGAAATCCGGTTTCACGCTGTTTCAATGGTCGGACAAATTCATAAAAGAATTTTTAAGTAACATCATGTTATAAATTGTAATATTTTTATTAATATTATTAATTATAATAAATCGATTTCTCCTGTAAGTCAAGAAATTTTATTTCATTACATATTTTACAGATTTTAATAGTTATGGCTTTTTATGATTTTTATAAAAATGATCAAATATATTTTTTATAAATATATTAAGCATTTCATACTTCATTATGTATAATGTTGTGATGACGCTAAAGTACAAAGCATTGGTATATTACAAGTTATACGACATCATAAATCATTACGTCCACTTTAATATCATTTCGATTCAATGTTTATATTCAATTAGTAATTGAAAGTATATTAATTTCATTAATAATCACTTTAAAATATTAAAGAATGATAAACTGAAGCAACATTAAAACTTCAATTTTATGAAACTCCATTTTTTAAATTTAAATATTTTCACAGATTGTAATTTATTTGCGATAAAAGAGCATTTTCCATCGCCTTTTCATAAAGCATTCATTCTTTTCTTTCATTAATATATATTGATGAATATTATAAATTCACACTTTAAAACAGTATTTAAAAAGACATCCAATATATAAAAATTCACGAAAATATTTCCAGATTAAACCTGACTTCAGAAATAATATACTTAGCTTATAATATATATTACAATTTTTTTTTTCGAGATACCAATGCATTCGATAATACTTTTATTTTTAGTTTTTGATTATACCATTGTTATTTTTACAGATATTAGTAATGTTTAAAAATTGTATATAATCATGACGGCAGTCGTGATGTTTTATATTAACTTCAGGTTCATAATCGTTTTATTTAAAGACCACAAAGAATGTTCAATACATGACTTTTGAATAATATAATTATTGTATTTAACATTTATTTAAAATTTGCATTAAATTTATTTATGGATGAATTATCTTAAGTAATATTAATCTTATTAAAAGAATTGTTATTATTAATAAAAGAAAATTCATTTCATTGCTTATATGATTTTATCTGTCCTTATTAAAGAAAATATACACATATAATGTTATTATAAATATATTTTATATAAGTGTTTTTAAAATAATCATTTACAGTAGGATTGTACATTGTTATTATGAAATAGTAAAAGTTAACCTCAAGTAAAAATGTATTTAAAATTAAAATTATTTTTTTTTTTTAATGTTATCGTTATATTTACAAATATTAATAAATGAAATATTTGCTTTTATATGGAAAAGAATATTCAAAAGTTAAAAAATGAATATTAATAATAATTATTTGCATAAAAGCAGTTCTTAATAAAAAATTCATCATTTCATTTCATATTTAAAGACATAATAAGTAATTAGATTATTAATCAATTTTTAATATCATATTTTAATGTAATAAATACAAAATATATAAACTGTATTTTAAATAAATTGATAAAATATCTTAAAAATTACAATCAATCGATACTTTCGATTGATCATTCAATATTTATGTAATGCTTTAATCAATTGAAAATAATTGTTATATTATTTTTATTTATTTTAATGAATTTTATTTTTATAATGAATTTTATTATTATAATGAAACATATTCATTTTATAATAATACAGAAATTTTATGTATGTAATATTCCTAATAATCTACCAAGTGATAAAATAATAAATGTTTAGATATAAAATTCTTGATTAATTATTAATTTTATTAAAAAAATTAAAGCCGTACTATAAAAATTATATTTAATTTCATTTTTGCATGTTTAATTTATATGTATAATATTATAATAATAATGTAATAATAAATATGATTTCATTCAAATAATAAATAATTAATATTCATTCTATCGTTGATGCATTACATGATATGTTTATGTGATGATAATTAGTATTGAAATCTTTATAAATATAATTTGGTTAGAAAAATTTGATAGTAATAAACAAATAATTTATTTGTGTAAGTTTAGCACGTAATAAGTTAAATAATGATAGCATGCAAGATTATTATATATATATATGCAAGATTATTATATATGAATATACGCTAATTTTTCAAATGTATAAATAACTATTTGTGGTAATAAATTGTAATAGTTAATAAAATAAAAGAGAAAAAATGAAATAACGAAAAATCAAATTATTAAAATACTATGAAAATACTCATTTAATTTTAAAGTGGAATTTATTAATAATATTTCATATAATTAATTGATGAATCTAGATTTCGTATCTAAATTCGACAAAAGATTTCCTAATTAAATTGTTAACTGATAGATTTTATCAGAGATTTTAGAAAACTCGAATATTATACTTTATAAATTAAAGATAAATTAATTGTATTTTATATGTAAAAAAGAAATAACAATATTTTTTACATCAAAGTTAGAAAAGGATTTCTATCATTAAAATTCCTAAATAATATTAGTTTTAATTTATTTAATATTTAATTAATCTTATATTCTTTGTTACTAAATCATTTTATCTCCGGGTTCTTAATATTCATAATTAATATAAATTTAAATTGCATATTTAAGTATTGAATATTGAATTTTCAGCATTTTAATATCTGGAATTCTCTTTTAAAATTCATATAAGCATAACAAAAAGTAAATGCTTAACTTTTAAGAAAATTTTATTTTTGATTATATAAATACTCGACCATATCTACACTTACAGAATAATTGCATTGCTTGTATTGGAGCCACTGACCTATCTATTGGTAATTTGATCCAAATATTATGGAATTGTACGTTGTAAATTACGAGGTACACTAGCTGTTCTGTTATTAAGTCTATATTTAATTAAAGCAAGTATCTCGCATATTACACTTACTTACTTCCATGCCTACACATATATAAGTAAAACATCATTAAAATGATAGTTCTTTATCATTTCTATTTTCGAATTATTTATTATTCTATTCTTTTGCTTTGATTCATGAAAACGATATCGGTTAATTGTTATTTATTAATACGCAATCTACTTTGGTTCTATGATTTGGATTCATTATCCTCGATAATAGTCTAGGATTATTATCTAATTAAAGGACAAATTGCATTGCATGTCATTATTAATATTTCAGTGTTTATTAGAAATAATTAATGATTTATTTTATTATTCTAGAAACGTTAGCATACTGTAATTTACAGATATA